AACTTTACAAGGAAATACGTGGAAGATAGAAAGATATATCTGGCCAAAACGAAATTTAAATGAATTTGACCATTTTACAATTGCTAATTAACAATTGCAATGGATTTAATGAAAATGTTTTTTGTTTTTCTTTCCATTTTTCCATTTATTTAAATCAAAGAAAGCCGAGAAGTGTTGAAGTGGAACGATGAGAAGGATGAATGTTAAGAACAAGTGCACATTTGCATGATAATTAACAATTGACTTTCCAATTAACGTGCATACCTCACGGAGCTTCTTGCCGACATTTTGCGCCATAATCCGATGTGTGCGTATGTCCTCCTATTCTCTCTCAGGAACGAGAATCATCATCAATAGCACCTGCTCCTCAATCCATCCCATAATCATTATCGAATCAGGAAATCCCTATCATTTATTTTGATGAAAACAACCAAAATTATCATAATTACGATATAAGCTTTTCACCTGGTCAGTTTCTTAGCAACCAAATTTTAGAGAATTTTTTAAATTTTACAATTCCATAACCTGTTTTAAATAGGTATTGCATGTCATTCAAAATGTGAATAGTTAATTTAATACTTGACGTCTATTTTAGAACAATAATTACAATTTGAAGAATTTCGGAGTTAAAATTGATTCTACATCTGAAACGATTGATCAATTGAGTAATTAATATTAGTTAGAAATGTAATTTATAACAGATATTAGTTTCCCATTAATGTAAAATTAATTCGATAAAGTTTCAAGAAATTTTCAACATTTAAATTTCTACTTCACTCGCTATGTTCGCGGCTCACATGAATTTCTTTTTCAGGAAGAAATGAGCCTTCATGCATTTCTTTGATTTGTTTCCTTATTTTCATCCTGAAGAGTAGCTTATTACTGACAGCAAAATATCTAACTATTCCGGGTATTCTGTAATAAGTTTCTGGATTCACTTCAATATTTCAAAGGAACGGAACATATTCATACTTAATAATAAAATTATCTACAAAGCAATATAAGCAGATGTTAGACATGACAGCATCTATCACATACTGATAAACGTAATGCGAAAACTATAATTAGAGAAAAAACCGGAAAAGTATTCAAACTATAAAGAATTTTAACTGGCATACATGTTTTAAAATAAATCTGGATGTATCTATGAAATATGTTCGAGAAAATTCCTATAATGAAAATGTTAGATGACAACGAATCTGATAAATCTTCCGGAATAAAAGACTGTAGACGAAACAACCAGAAATTTCCTTGCACCTTCTACCATCATATCATACTCTCGCGGTTACAATAATTTTCACTACATCCAAAATTCCACCTGGTCACGTTATATGACAATGATGAAATCTGCGCTACTTTGGTGCGTTGAAAGTTGAAGTGTAGAAGACCTTTGATTTGTTGGGTCATGTGGTTTTAGTTTGAATAATACTTGCCATACGCTATAAGTTTTCTTCTTTCGGTGTTTTTGTTCTTAAATTATCGCTTCATTTTACGTAATGCTTGTTACTTGAAAATTGAACAAAACTCAGTTTCCTGATTTCTGATTAAATTTGAATAAATTGTGGTATCATATATCATTTTGCGAATCAATTTAATGTCAGCTGAAAGGTGAACGTACCCAATTCGATGGAATCATTTGTCTAAATTTCATTTATTGATAGGTAGGAATTGGTAACGTTATTAGCGCAGTAGAATTCAGGAACTGAAGATGCAATGAATTTTTCAAACTGCAGTAATAAAAAGTACACGAATGCACGTAATCACTTGTTAGATAAAAATTTAAGGCCATTTATTCGGTGCTAAGTGAGATGAAAAACTGATGATTTAGATGGTATGAGAGGTGATTTTTTTAATATGTAATGCATAGGTTATATTTCACAAAAGAAAACAGCACACGTTAAATTGCTGATAGGGATATCACTCTTTTTATATTATCATTCTTTCTTATTAGCTAGCAATCCTACCACGTTCAACGTTACTTTTCAACGCATTACTTTTTTGGGATGCATTTTTTTTTCTTTTCGTCAATTGTGGATGAATGTTTATTTCAAATACTACAGATGTATCGTCCTCTCGGTGCACGTCAGAAAGATATTTCTACTAGGCTCATGAAACCAACTTGTCCTGATATTAGAATCAAGGATGTGCTTCATTTGGTCAAGAATTGGGATCCTGCATGGGAATTTGATGGTGACATTACTGTAAGTATTGCTCTAATCAATCTTTTATCGGTAATTTTTTTTCTCATTTAATGATTTAACAGTTCAAAGATCAATGTTTATAAATAAGTGGTAGAGACAAACAAGTTCTTTTTAAGATTTATTATTTAAGGTTTTTGATGCCGGAATAGCACAATATTTACTAGTAGACGACCGATCGCATGATATATTCTTTGCTTCGCTTATACTCGGGAAACCAAGTTTACGTTGTAAACTGGTCAGTAACGAGCCGAAAGATGTGCTTGATGAAGAGGCTGATAATACATTTAATTTGGTAAAAAATTGTTAAAACTGCTAGATTACTAATTTCCACTGAAAAAATGTTATATTGTAAGGCAGCAACAAACATTTTATATGTTATGTCATACTGCCAAATAGTGCTAAAAATTTGAAGTCAGTTTTCCTTATAAGCTTGCAGTGTCGAGTTATGTTCAAAAATTCACCGTTTACAGTGTGAAGTCCCTCTAAGTTAGGCTCTTTGCGATGACTACTAGTGCCTTAATAACAGGAAGCCAATGTAGTAGTATGAGGGAACTTAAGTTCCTTAAATTTCTAGTTTTTTTATCATGTCTTGTGATAAAACGATAAATCGTTGCAGGTTGGTGAAAATGAAGCTCCAGAAGAAGAGCGCAAAAAAATCGATTATTTGAAAACTGTTTTAAGTCGCAAAGGATATCGGTTTATTGATAACTGAAAACTAATGTTGGAAATATAGTGGCGAATTAAACAGAGGAAAGTTTTAGGAGCTTCTAATGCTTGCGCTCCATTAATTTTTGTTTTTTTCTCGATGGGTTAAAGATCACATATTTCTGAAACAAATCAGGTTTCTGACAAGTTGTTTCTCTGTAATTTGTTGCTATGCTGCGCTCTTTTTTATTTTTCCGGAAAACTCTACTTGATATCAAGGACTTGGTTGTCGGTCCTACTCCCAACATCATTATCTTATTGCTGGATGGGCTGAAAGCGATAATTCTCTAGGCGTTGTTTTATACCTGGTCTGTAGCAGTAGAAGGTTTTTTTGTATCCACAGCGATGGATAAGGTAGCGGAGGTTAATCAAGAGTTTTGTTTAAGAAAAGGTAGAATCTTTATGACACCATGAAGTCATTTTAGTTTACTTTGTATATACGTATTTGTTCGATTGCGCTTGCTGCTGCAAACATTGCTACAATTCAAAGATTAAATGTATTGAAGCACTTTGGCAATTCATCCTCTTTTGGTTAATCATTTGTCATTCCTATAGTATCTTTTCTTTGGATCCAGTTCATGTTTCTTTGTATTTTCATCTTTCTTCTGGTTTTATTGTTGCATGTTTTGTTGTCACAATCATCACGGGACCAGTAAAAGATGGAGAAAAGAAATTTGAATCTTTCTCGATTTGATATTTCTCCCTTAACTTGTGTTGTTCACGATTACTTTGCTTAGAATGTATGATTATTTTGTATATATTTGATATCTTCATTGTTTTGGTTAAGTATTATTTATCCAGTAACAGTTTACGAGGTACTGTTGACCACGAAGAAAACGGCTTTTATTTTCCTTCGCTTATTCGCCTTCATTGTTTTATTGTATCATTTTATTTTAAAAGCTTCAATTCCAATCAAAACCCGATGTTTCTCATCAAAATTTAGAAACTCAAAATCACTATTGTTATTTGTATTGCTTATAAACCAGAACGTTCATTGTATATTTAGGCCGGACATTATGAACTTAAATTAGTATAGTTAAAGTTCAGTTAAGCATTGAAAAATCATTGTGGTATTCTCTAGAATTTCCCCTTTAAATTTGTATTATTTGTTAGCCACTTCATCGATGTGAAAAATGGGTCAATTATTTCTTTATATACGTATTTTTATTTTCTTTGTTTTCAATTCCTCATATAAATTTAGCTAGCCTATTTTTAAATACTATCACTTGCGTTACCATATGTTATTCCAATGTAGTTTCGTGGTATTAGCAGCGTTTCTTTCTTTTTTATTCCATGTTTTTAATTTTATTTTCATCAATCAGCGAAATCCTTCTGCTCATTCCTTTGATTATTTTTAGTAACTGACAATATTTTTGTTTTTATGTTCTGATTTGTTCTGATATTTTCAGCTGTATCGATCTGTCTATTCAGTATGTAATGATTTTTGTACCTTTGTTTCAGTGTTTGTTTTTTTATAATTAGTTGCATAAAATTGGTTGAGAACTCATCAGTTTTAACAAGGTCAGGAAAAAAATGATATCCCTGAAAAGGTATAATTTTACTGCTTCGCTGTAGGGATGACCAAAAGGTTTAGAAGGAGGGTCCAAGTGATAAATGATAAGATGCAGAATTCAAAATATTGAATGTGCATGTCTGTGTACAGTCGCTAGGATGATGAATTGTGAATATATCTAAAAGACTAATAAATTCGGAGGGTTTCTTAATAACCTCCTATTAAAGTTGTCTGGCAAGAAATTTGCTTTTATGGAAGTGAACAGCTGTCGCATAGGACTGTAAATATTTCATGCTGTCATTCACGAGTAATTAATTACACGAGACGTATTCGTCAGTTATTTTCATCAAAAAATTTTCAGTTCACAAATGGAGAAGGATCATTTTCTCGGCAAAAACAATCAAATGAGGTGGGAAGTTTGAACTCGGATTGGTCTTCTTAACCGCATACCCGTCCATCGGATTCATCCATCCGTTTGTGGCAAAAAATTTGTATCATCGCCTGGGCGTACATTTGGCGCATTTGTATACTGATCTTCTGATTGGTAATAATCATGGTACCAAGATGCTTTGCATACTCTTTCAAAATGTTGATGTACTAAAAAGACGGTTTGTTTCAGGAGCATTTTCCAGTTTTCGTTGATCCATTTGATGTTGTTGTTGCTCCTGCTGTCCATCCGCAGATCCCCATTTGTAATCACTTTTGCTAGGTTCATAAAATGATTGTTTCCTGCTTGCCATTGTTGATCTCTTGATGGAGCTAGTATCACGAGAATTTCCTGTAGCATATGCAATTTTTAAATATCTCTTGAAATTTATTTGAGAACTAATTTTGCAAGAAAAAAAAACAAAAATCGATATATCCTTCTGAGGAATCAAGAAGAATTTCGGGATATTTTCAAAACATTTCTAAATCATAAGGTTTGGTTGTTAAGGTTTGAGTTAAGAGATCAAATATTTCCGATACTTATTGAATATTTAGTGAATATGAAATTATCAAGTAGGTGTAGTTTGAATAAAACTCACTAAGACAAGAACTGCAACAATCGAGCCATCGTGAATATCTATTGCTTTCTAGTAAACCCTGTGATGACAAACTAATTGGTGGAGTTGTTCTTAAACTTTCACGAAACACAATATCTCTTTCAGTTAATTCTCTTTCCTGAAAAAATTGTTTGGTAATAAATATGAATTGCTATATATATATATATATATATATATAATAAGATGTATGAAGTTTTGCAAAAAAGAACGAAAATCAATTTCGAGTGTGAACAATTCGTTTTTTTTTAAAATTTTAATTAATTAAAATACTGCTAAGGATGGCAACAAATTCTCTCGTTCCAATGTGATAAAAGCTTCCCAGTGATAATGATAATTCATGCTAATCTCGAAATCATACACAAATTTTTCTCCACAATAGTTACATTTCCAAATAATCAAATCATCCTATCTAATTTCGTTATCATTATCATTTTTGAGAATTGTATCAAAATTTATTTAAAAAGAAAAAAAGATAAATAAATTAATTACGGTAGCTTTTTCTAAACATTGTAACAAATGTCGATGTTGAATTTCAAAAATATCATCATCTTTTAGCGAATCAAAGCTTAATAATCCTTGTCCAAATGCTTGCATCCTTGCTTCATGTTCTTTCCTTTTATTCGACATTGCTTTTCCACTAGCATTTTTAACTATTCGAATTCGAGCTAATCGAGCTTTCTGAAATATTTGATCAATCTATCAAACCAACTCACTGATATGATGAATTTGAAAATTAAATTCTAAACAACTTTCAAACTTACATGAATTAGAAAATCCAACAGATTTATTATATATATATATATTTATTTATTTTATTTATTTATTTATGTTTTTGTTTACCTTTTGAGCTCTCCTCTTGTCAGCCCGTTGATTCTGATGATATATTCTGGAGAAATTGCTAACAATTACCTACAATGGACAAATATATTTCGTAAGAAATGTTGTCATCAATTTTTTTTTAAAGGTTTTGAGTTACAAAAAAAAATGTTTTAAAATTTCTATCGAAATATTGAAACGATAAAACTTACCGGAACTGGAAGTGCAATTACCAAAACACCACTAAGGGAACAAACGCCACCAACAACTTTACCCATAACTGTTGCTGGCACCATATCACCATAACCAAGAGTTGTCATCTATAAATATTCTCCAACTTTCATAATTTGAACAAATTTTTTCATTTTCATTTAACATCTGTCAATTTCATAATCTTTGTAAAAATTCCACAAAGTTAATAAGAATTTTCATTTCCCTTCAAAATTGTTAATAAGAAAAGAAAAGTTAAAGTTAATAAGAATTTTCATTTCGAAGAAAAAAATGTAAGAATATTAAATGTAACATAAATTAAATTAAAACTTTTAATACTTTCCTTGAAATCATTAATTACTCTTACTTTTCTTTGTAGCCAACCTTTTATTGATAATGCTCTTTAATTAATTAAATCAATCGATTTGAATGAAAATTTGTTAATAATAAATCAAAATTTCTTCTTTTATTATTATTACTAATTTTTGCATAATTTATACTAACTAATATTATATAAATCATCAACAAACATTTAAATACTTTCTTTTTAAAAATAAATTTCTGATGATATGATTAAATCTTTCTGAGATATGATAAATGATAAATCTTTCTGATAAATCTTTATGATAAATCTTTCCGAGAAAGTTTACAATAAGCTGAAATTTCGAGAAAAATATCTTAAATAATTTTTATGTCTAACAAACGATTAAATAACATTAATGATATGATATTTAATTTCATTATTATTATCTTTAAATTATTAACAAAATTTCAAAGAATAAAAAAAGAAAAAATATACGAAATATTTCGAACAAATAATGATGTAATAGTTTTTTGAACATTTATTTAAATTCAATTAAATTTTAATTAATTAATTAATAACAATAAATTTTATCGAAGCACAAAAAACAAAGAAAGAAAAGAAAACTTACAGTAACAATTGTATACCAAAACGCGGCCGGTATTGAAGTGAATCGGGTATCGCTAACTTTTTTTTCCGCATAATACATTATTGTTGCAAAAATAATTATTGCCATAGCCAGTGAAAATACTAGAAAACCAAGTTCACTGGCGCATGATTTAAGTGTGTAACCAAGTATACGTAAACCCTGAGAGTGGCGAGAAAATTTAAATATCCGAAATACCCGCTGAAATAGTAAAAAAAAAAGCATGATAATATATCAATTAGTATGAGAAGAAAAATTAGACAAAAATTAACTAAATAATTTTTGTCAAATTAATTAACAAATAAATCTTAATTATAAATCTATTCTAATTTCATTTTAAATGTATAAAATTATTTAATGAAAATTCGTCAAGATTTGCTAATTATTCCACAATGTAGTCATATTTCTTCTTGTTATCCCAACATATACACAATACGTAAAACACGTATTCTATTCTATTTTGCTTACGCTTTAACAAATTTAACCAATTCATTATTTTATTGTTTTCCCATAATTGCAAAATAAACTATGCAGGTTATGTTGCTATCCTAATTACACGTAAAATACGTATTCTATTATATTTTGCTTACGCTTCAACAAAATTAATCAATTCATCGTTTCATTATTTTCCTATAATTGTAAAATAAATTGTGCACGTTATGATGTTATCTCAATTATACGTAAAACACGTGTTCTATCATATTTTGTTTACGCTTTAACAAAATTAGTCAATCCATCATTTTATTGTTTTCCCATAATTGCAAAATAAATTGTATATGTTATGATGTTATCTCAATTATACGTAAAACACGTGTTCTATCATATTTTGTTCACGCTTCAGTAAAATTAACCAATTCATCATTTCATTATTTTCCCATAATTGTAAAATAAATTATGTACGTTATGATGTTATCTCAATTACACGTAAAATACGTATTCTATTTATATTTTGCTTACGTTTCAACAAATTTAATCAATTCATCATTTCATTATTTTCCTATAATTGCAAAATAAATTATGCAGGTTAAACTTTTATTTTATTTTTTTTTTAAATATGTTATTTGCAAAAGTGAAATAATTTATCGTTATCATTTATTATCACAGTGAAATGAATCATTTTCACCATCTGTTGTTTACGATCGTTTTCTGCGAATAAAAATAGGAAAATGATCGAATGCGAAAAATATTGCATTTTTTTTTTAAAAATATATTTTAAAGATTTTTTTTCTTGATTTTTCTTTTCTCTTTGTTTTTTTTCCATTATTTTGTTAAAGAATTGAAAATGATAATATAAGAAATTTAAAATAACTTCAATCAATCTTATCAATTATTTTAAAGTTAACTAATTTTAATTAATTATATGTTATCTGTCAGAAAACAATGAATGTTTTTAGTTTTAGCAAAGTTCAAAAATTATGAGATAAGAACAAATAAATTATGTTAGCATATAATAGTAATAACAAATAAATAATTAGTTTGCAAACTATATATATATATATATGTATAGTTTGCAAATTATGACATAAGAACAAATAAATTATATATATAATAAATTATGTTATATATATATATATATATATCAACTATGCTTACCATTCTATTCTGTTAAAGAAAACAAGACATTTTTTAAATATATCAATAATTGTTAACTATAAATTTTAATATTAAACATTAATATCATTTCCATAAATATTAAGCTTAAAAGAATAATAATTAATAATAATAAAAAAATGTATTGATAATAATAATTACAGTAATACAGAAAAAGGGAACATGAAATTATAAATAATAGAATTATAGCAAAAAAGAACATATTAAAATTATATATTTTAAACATTATAATTTACCAATAATATTTAATTTAATTATGCATAATTAAAAAAAACAAAAGAAAGACTGAAAAATACAAAAGAAAACTTACAAATACACGTAAAGTGACAAATGCACCCGAAACATCCTTTTTATTAGTGAAACCAAGGCCCACATAATATGGCATAATAGCAATCACATCGATCATACTCATTATTGAATGTAAAAATTTACACCTATCTGGAGCAGCAAATAAACGTAATAAATATTCCACAGTGAAAATGATTACACACGCAGTATCAAGAACGAAGAACTGGAAAAAAAGGAAAATAAAAAAAGAATTTTAAATTAAACAAAATTTATGATATATTCTTATACATATTCTTTCATTTCATTATTCTCTTTTTGTTTCTTTTTAAAAGTAATTTATTTCATTATATTTAAAAACAAAGAAATTCCAAGAATAAAATGATATATGCTTTGTTTTGCAAATGAAGAAGAAAGATAGGAATGAAATGATAAATGTTTTAACATTAAAGTATTATTTAGAGAGAATTTAACTTTATCTTTTTCAATCTTCTTTTTTTTTCCGAAGTATTTAAATTAACACTGATAATTTTGATAAATTATTAAATCTTACATGAGGAAATTTCATTCTTTTTTGTTTCTCTCTCTCTTTCTCTCTTTCATAATAAATTAGAAAGCAAAAAAGAAAAAGAGAGAAAAGTTTTCTAACTTTAATCAATTATCAATCATTGATTTAATTGTTTTTCTCTCTTTCCACAATCAAAAATAAAAATACATCGTATTTTATCAGTTTAAGATAAGCTTTTTTTGCTTTCAAAATACCAAACTTACTTATGATATCAGTTGATAATTGAAATAAATTTAAATTTCAAAGCATGATCTTTTTTGCTTTTATCTTTTGAAAAAAGAAAAGTGAACATTTGATGGATGAATGAAATGTTATGATTATTTCTGTTATCATATCAGTGATAAAAAAAAGAAAACTTTCAGTGAATTTAACTCATTATATCAAATATTTGTTCATCCATAGATTACCGAAAAAAAAGTGAAGAGAAAATTTTTTTGCAACTAAACTTTATCCTAATTTTTTTTTTCAAATAAAATTTAATTCACAAAAATTGTTTTAATTTAATTTAACAACATTAAATTAGTTCAACCAATTAATTGTTCAATGATGCATAAATAAACAAATTCAATGATCAATGCGTATAACGGAAAAATATTTGAAACAGACAAGTTTTTATGATAGATAATATTTATCATAACAACAAAAAAATATTTTGTTTAGTCTGGAAATCTTTCGTAATAAGTCATTAATTAAATTTAATGCTAGAAGAAAAACTCGAATGATATCGTCATTCATATATCATGAAAATAATTTTTTGAAACTAATTTTAAAAAATTTATTTTAGAAAGTGGTTTTTTTGTAGATTGCTTGCCAGTTTTTTTGCGATTTCTATATTAATCCATATTTTGTGCGATATGTAATATTCTATCAGAATTAATAACCCGTTTAGCTGATGATCACTGTAATAATGATTAAATCGATATTAGCATAAACGATAATATTCGTATATAAATTATGTGAAATTTCAATCAACATTAAAATATAAATAAATAATAAATATTAATAATATAAATATAAAATAAATAATAATAATTATACGGATATAAATAACGGTGAAATTTTCAACATTAATTCGCTGATATTATTAGATATTAATTTGTTTTTTTCTTTGCCTGCTTCCTTTCAATATATTAAACAATTTCGTTCATTCTTCACTTCAAAAAATAAACTTAAATGATATATATTTCGCCTTGAAACTTTTCATTCAATTTCAATAATTCATTTTCTCCACTTTCCTTTTTTTCCCACATTAATGTATGAAATTGAAAACTTTCCGATATTTTAGTAATGTTGAAATGCAAATTTTAAAATAAATAATCAATCGTTGCAGAAAAAAAAAAAGGAATATTTGAAATTTGAAAATGATATTAGGAAAGAATTTAATGATATATATATATTGGTCGTTTTAATGAGATTAATAAAAACAAAAACAATAGGCACGAAAAAAAAAAAATTTATTGAACATTTTCTCTTACAATTTCTTATTTTTATCTTTTGTAGTATGTAGAAAATTAATAGTATTTAATTAATGCATTTGTATTATAATTAATTATTATAGTTGACCGGAATATTTGGAAATATTCGAAATTGTCGGAATATTTGAAAGAATATTTGGAATATTTGCAAAATAAATAAATGTGCAATAGAGGAATAAAAAAAAAAAGATTTAATTTCAGCAAAAACAAAAAAAAAAAAAGGTAAATAAAAATTAATTAGCAATTACAAAAAATTTTTCTTATTCATTTTAATTTTTCAAATTTTCTTTTTTTCTTTCTTCTCTTTTTCTCCTCTCAAAAATATTATTTACAAATAAACTCTATCTTTTTTCTCTCTTTCTTTGGAAAAAATAGTATAAGAAAATAAAGTTTGCGAAAAAAAAGTTGATTTTTATAAATTTTTATAAAATTTAAAATAATCAAAAAAAGAAGGATGTTATACCTGTCGTTCATAAAGCTCACCACATGAAACAGTCGTATCATCAATAAGATATTTGCATGGTACTGTTTCAATAATATTGCATAAAACCGATAAAGCAATAAAAAATCCCGTAACATAATAAAAGACAAGTGCCACCGTGGATGTATGAGGATTTTCAAATGCTCCCCATATTTTTTGCTTAAAAAGGAATCGATTTTATTTTTTCCATCATTTGAAATTCCTTTTTAAAAAAATGAAATAAATTTCAAATTTGTATGTAAAATTTATTTTGTTAATTATAGAAATAATTAATGCAAAATTTGTTTTGTTTCAAAAAAAAAATAGGAAAAGATAAAAAGATTAAATTAAATTAATAATTTAAATTAATTGAAATTGAAAAAAATTAATTAATATACATACCCGAAGCGTAAGTTTACGTTTCGTTTTTTCAATAATTTCTAATCGTTCTTCCATTAATCGTTCCTGATTTTCTCGTTTCTTATCTTTATAATCTTCATAACAACAATCACTTATCAAATCAGGCATTATACCGAAAAATGATAGCTCTTCATCATAAGCCACAAGACATTCATTCTTTGGATACTAAAATTTACGAATAAATTATTAATTTAAAAGATTTCAAATTAATAAATTACTATCATCTAAAACAACAAAAGAAGGAAAAAATTCTTCCAATTAAAAATTTTTAAAATAAATACGAAAATGAGTGAAATTTTACAAAAAAAAATAATAAGGAGAGAGAGAGAGAGAGAAGAAAAGGAAAAAATTTTTTACATGAAGTTTGCCGGTTCGATAAAAAGTAAGAATATGCCGGAAAATATCTGGATCACGATCAAAAAAATATTCCGATGTTCCTTCATCATAAAAAAATTCTTTTTCATTTGAGCCAAGTAATGTTTCCGGAAATTTTTCCAACGTATTTCGCCATGTTTCAAATCGTCGTCCAGAAATATTGATTGAAATTTTTTCATCCGAAACATGATCAACAGCTAAATCTTTAGCCTATAATAAATAAAATTAATAAACAATTTATTTATTTGTCTAAAATAAACAATTTATTTATTTATCTACGAATAAAATAATAAACAAAATTAAATTTAATAATTTTAATTAAAAAATTTCAAAAATTAACCATTATAAATGTATAATTTGGAAAAGAAACATTCATTAGAAATTATTTATTTTAATACCTGTATGGCAATTGGGGCAGCTGGCATTGGTTGTCGTGAGATGGGTACCCATCCAATTGCAGCAGCTCGAGCAAACGGTAACCATGCTGCCACGGATGCCATCTAAAAAATTCATTCATTCATTCATTCAAATTTTATTTTTTCAATTAATTATTAACGATAAATAATGAAAACTGTAATTTATAACTAATGAAATAATATATCATCTAATAGATCATACAAAATATATATTTTTTTATATACCATATAATACAAAATATTATATATTTTTATATATATTATATAATACAAAATATTATATATTTTTTTTAAATAATACAAAATATTATATATCTATAAATTTTTTTCACTTCTTAGTATGCCGATAATATCATATATATCTATATTTTTTATAACTTTCCTAATAGATAATACAAAATATTATATATCCATAAATCTTTTCACTTCTTAATACGTCTATAATATTATATATCTATATTTTTTATCACTTTCCTAATAGATAATACAAAATATCTATATATTTTTTCATTTCTTATTACGTCTATAATATTATATATCTATAAATTTCTTCACTTTCCCAATAGATAAATACAAAATATAATACATCTATACTTCTTTTTTTCACTTCTTTCTTTCTCTTTTTAAAAGAAAATTTAAAGTAGCATAATATCATAGAAATGATGCATTATATACATAAAAATAAATTATAGCCATTTTCAATGATATACAGATATGATTCAAAAATCCTAATATATCATCATCATCATCATCATCATCATCATCATCATAACTTAATGTACAACAAATTTTTGTGAACAAAAAAAAAAGAAAGAAATGATTTCTTTTGAATTAAAAAATTTAGTTTTATTTAAAATGGCTTAACCTAAAAAAAAAGTTAAGCCATTTCAAAAAAAAATGGAAAATTAATTGGAAAAGTTTACTCATTCGTAAAAAAATTTAAATGGAAAAGTTAGGATATTTTGAAAAAAAAAAGTAAATAAGTAAGTAAATAAGTTAAGTAAGTAAGTAAGTAAGCTTATTTGAAAAGATTGATTGAAAAAGTTTGTCATTAATGTGTATGTGTGTGTGTGTGTGTGTGTGTGTGTGTGTGTATGACAGCTAAAATCTTCGCTCTGATAAACATGCAAAGTAGAAAAAAAGGGAAGAAATGAATGGGAAAGAATTTGGTGCCACCACTTAAAGAAACCAAAATGAAAAAGCTAAAATCCATTTCGAAAAAGAAATTAGTTAGACAAAAAAAAAAAAAATAACTTATTTTTTTTAACTAACATAATTTTATGCATAATAATATTTTAATTTATATTAGTTAAAATAAATTTAACATTTGATTACTTGTAAGAGAAATAATAATGATAATAATCGATAATGATAATTAATAACAATAATTAATAATAATAATAGCAATTAATGATAATGACAGTAATAAATAATGATAATAATAATGGTGATAATAATAATTAATGATAATAATAATAGTGATAATAATAATTATTAATAATATAATGATAATAATAATGGTGATAATTATTAATAATAATAATAATGACAATAATAATGATGATAATAACTAATAATAATAATAACAATAATAATAGATAATTGATAATAATAAAAATAATAATTAATAATAGTAACAACAATTATTAATAATAATAATAATAATAAATAACAGCAGTAATAGTAGAACATAGAAATTGAAAAATTTAATAAAAATTTTAAAATAAAATTTAAAAAAAATCGATAAATCACATTAAGTGGATAACATAAAATTGCTATAAATTATTGTTACAATAAAATAGTTTTGAAATGAAACAAAAAATTCTTCCTCCATAAATTTATTACAAAATTTAAAATAAACTTTTTTTTTTGGAATAAAAATTTCCAACTTATTACAATTCATTTGTTGATTTATTTCATTAATTCATATGGTATAATTTAAGAATTTTATAATTATAAATTTTTAGTTAATTTCAAAAATTAATTAAGCAAATTTTAATTTCTTCTTTGCTAACAAAATATTTTGTTGAAATGAAAACATGATGCTTTGAACTTTTGTTTGTTTTCTTCTTCGTTGCCAATATTCTATTTCACCTTTTTACTAATTGAGTGAAATGTGAATAATTTTCATTTAATTTTTCTCTTTCTTTCTCTTTCATCTTTTGATATCAATTTTTAATTGTTGAAAAAATTTAAGTAAAACTAGCGCCCCTATTGTTGACACACTTTTGTTTTTGTCTTAATTTAATCTGTGAACTTGCACTTTCAAACGATACATGAATGGTAT